ATATATATATATATATATATATAGAAACTTGTGGTAAAATTTAAATTCAATGAACAAAATTTTATTTAGTATGTAAAATTATGACAAATAATTAAATTAACCATTTAAAAAATATCATAACTGATTACTTGATAATTACAATATTATTTAACAGAAATATTAAAGCATTAGAGTTCACAATAATTATAATCTTAATTATATAATTTTGAATCAAGTAGTTTTATTCCCTAATATTCAAAATTATGAAGGAATAATTGTTATATTTAATTATTATATATATATATATATATATATGTATAATATTATGTAATTATTAGATATATTATATATTTAATTATTATATTATTATAATAACATGAAAGAGTCTAGGCACAATATTAGACAATTTTTTCGACTAGCATTCTTCAAGCGAATGCAATTTATTCGCAAATTTTTTCAGCCGGAATTTTCTATCCGCAACGTTTTAACACAAAAAATGTTTTCCCCCCGTTCGTATTTCGATATAATTCCAATCCCGTAATTTTCCCTTTAATCTCTCAGGTAGTGCTATGCTTCGAGCGCATTTTCTGGGATCCAACGGCCAATTTGTTCGGCCACGTGGGAAGTACCACCGCGTCGCGCGGCGAGCTCTTCCTGTTCTGGAACTTATACAAGGCGCCGGTCCTATTGGCCCTCGTCGCCGGTGAAGCGGCCTGCGTAATGGAAAATGTCAGTGACGATGTTATCGTCGGGCGTTGCATCGCCGTCCTGAAAGTAAGTGGATGAAATTTCTAGTCGGAGCGCGCAAGGGGGGGGGGTGAGGGACGTGCCGGATAGCGGTCTTACTTAGCTTAAGCATAGCAACGCGTTTTATCATAATACTTAATAATTATTATCTTACACGCCTTGTACTCCTCTCCGTATTTCACGGGAGAAAAAAAGATGGAAAGGGTTGAAGGAAGACTTTTTTGCTCTTTAGGGCATTTTTGGAAACCAAGTAGTACCGCAACCGCGCGAAAGCGTCGTGACGAGGTGGCGGGCGGATCCCTGGGCACGAGGATCCTACAGTTACGTCGCGGTCGGCAGTTCCGGCAGCGATTACGATCTCCTGGCAGCACCCGTGTCACCTCCGCACCTGCTCAATCAGCCCCCGCCGCAGCCGAGAGTCTTCTTCGCAGGTAAATATTAAATCGATACTCTGTTCTACGACGTTGCATATCGTCGCGACATGAGAAATTTTTAACGGCTTTTTAAGTTCTTCTCTCTGACGGAGAATTATATTTGCGTTTGCCATCGCGCCGCGTGTTTGCGTCCCCCGTAAATGTATACGTAAACGTCGCTCGCGTTTGCAGAACATAGCGATTGATGCGCGATGCAATTTGCCTTCCCTACGATACTCCGTTCCCGACTTGTGTGCGCAGTAATTCCGCGTGTTAACGCTGTTTAAAGATCCTACTATTCGCGAAATGTTGGTCATGTAAACAGAGGATGAATTAGCGCTCGAGGGAATTTAACGAAATGTATAATAAATACGCGAAAAGATTGATTGATAAACAAACGTGAGATTTTAATGTCGATACGAGATATCTAATAATAAATTCTAATAATATCTAATAATAATATCTAAATAATATCTAATAATAAATTCGCGTCTTTAGATAAATGTCGCGTCGTAATAAACTTTTTTCGACGAGAGTGCACGTTGACCTATTTACACGACGGCTTTTCAGGAGAGCACACTATACGGAATTATCCAGCCACCGTACATGGCGCATTCCTCAGCGGTCTTCGTGAGGGTGGACGTATAGCCGACCAACTCTGTGGAAGTCCTTACGCGCCACCAACAATGACAGCTTCCGTTCCGCCATCGACGGGGATCACGCCAGCAAATACTGGCAGCAGTTCGACGCCTTAGTATTTTCGCATCGACTACTTCGCTTTTGTCTTTCTATAACCGAAGAAACTCCGAGATGGCCGTTCACGAAAAAAACTCTTTCTTGAGGCTCTTCCGAAAAAAAAGATACAAAGAGATTCTCCGTGATAATTCCAAGTCATGCGACAACTTGACAAACGTATTCGTTAGATCGCTATTATTTTCGCAATTGAAACGTGATTAGTTTCAGTGAATAATTTAACTCATTACGACTAAGTTCGATTCAAAGAAAGAACTGAGAGAATATTAAATGATTTTGAAACGCTCAATTTTCCACAGTACACACTACATTCGTCAAATATATATATTCATATACGTAAATATACAACTCAAATGTTTTATTTGTCATCATCATCATTCATACACACACATCACAAACACACACACACACACACACACACACACACACACACACACATATATAGGAAATATAACATGAGAAAAGAATAAAATATATATACATATATTAAACAAATATGTATATATAAATATATGTATATATATTTTATTTTTATTATATTACTTATATATTTATATGTGAATATGAATGATTGCTCTTTTCACATTTTCTTATATAGCAAATGAAACTCCATTTATTCAGGATCCCAATTTTTATATAATTATACTTCCGTTATTTACTTTATTCGACAACTTATGACGAATTACACGATTTATTGTATGTTTCTTGCAATTTTGTACTCTTCGATAAGTGAGAAGTATTATTATTTATATATAAACATACCAATAGTGTTGATGAAGTAAATAAATATAAAATAAAAACAGCGATGCTCTTGAAATTGTGTATAAATTGTTTATGAGCCGTATCGCAAAATGCCATAAAGATAAATTATTTTGTGGCACAGTATTACTTCGATAGTAGAACAAAATAAAATAAAAATCTAATTATATTCGCATCAATATTTGATGTAATAAAAAAACGGATTCGCATGTTTACGATTTTTTATGCAATATTATTTTATAACGTCATATAATGTATGATAATTTTGAAAATTTAAGTTTATAAAAATTGATAGTCGATATATGGTAGTGTATTGAAATTTCACCGGGCGTTCGTTGTATTTAATTACATACATCTGATCATTTTTATCTTTCCATATAACAAGTGACTTTTAGTTTATATTTGATGTGATTATTATAAAGTAAGATATCACAGTTATATAAAATGATAGATTTCATTTCGGAATTGTGTGTATTATACAGAATGTAATGTATTCCTGCGCAAAATAAAGTGCATACGTATTTTCATTTTATTGTCATAACTTTTATTTGAAAAGCTTTTTTTACAAAAATAATTAGACATAATATTATTAATATAATATTATTATATTAATATAGATATTAATAGATATGTAAAGGACTGTGTTACAAATCTAATAAGATTTGGCACATGTATGTAACAGAGGAATTATGTATAATTTAAAGAAGTGTTGTGCACATACATATACATATATATCTAATGGGAGTTACTTTTTTGTCTTAATATTTTAAATTTGTATGGAATTTTTATTAAATAAATTTGCACTACGACGCGCAATCGATGTATATTAATTAACGCGCTATTAGAACACAAGACAAGTGTTTATTCATGTATTCCCAATCTGACGCAATGATAAAACTCACTTATCCCGATTCGTGCTACGTACGAGAGCACGAAGAAGAAATTTTCGGGTAATAGCGGCGTATATCAATAATAAAGAGCAAATTCCTGTGCTTTCACATTTGCAATCTTGATTTAATCAGTCATACCTAATAACCGTGCATGCTATTTATGTAGCAACCATATAATCTCACCGATCATATTAGATTTCCTATCTAATTTGGGAATATTGAATATTCGATCATTCCGGTACGGATATTACATTGCATGCATCGCCGCGGGCGCATTATTTCGAGCTGTACAGATTTCCACCGATGCAAACAACTTTGAAATGCGTCCACCAAAATTCTAAACCTATTGCGATAATCTACAATATCTACGCAAAGCTGTGGTCCAGATGTTTTAATTCACAATATATTGAAGATAAGTATACACATATGCGCGTAATTAATCGTCATTTTTTAACGACAACGAAAACACTTAAACGACTACAATGAATTTTTCAATGGAAAATTCCTAATAACCATTTAGGAATTACTCCATTTTTTTCGTATTTTCTATTCTCCCTTTCATTCCAAAAATGTTAGTTCAATAAATGCGTATCGCCATAGCAACCATAACTGCTAACAAGCTGGCGAAACTCGCATTCTCGGATCTCTCGCACGTGTGACATTGTCTGTGAAGGATTGTCAACTTTGACATTTTTTTCTGTTTCGTCATCATTTTTTTATAGTTAACCCCAAAGATGAGTTTGTTACCTTTACCTAAAGTGCAATGCAGTTTACCCAAAGCGAGGAAGTATCCCATTGACGTTCCCGGCACGGCAAATATATCTTACGGGCACAAGTTACGCGAACGCAAAAGTTGCCGCATTGCAAAGCACCATGGATCGGGTAGATCTATCTTCGAGGGCGCAGAGGAGGAGGAGGAGAAGAGGGAATACGACCAGTTACTTAAAACTCTGGACTTCGAGAAAGAAACCGATCGGAAAATCAGGAACAAGAATCTTCGCCAACGAGTCCAACAAGGTATTAACGTGAACGTTAATGTGGCTTTTTTTTCTTTATTACGTTTGCACCTCTTAAGAAAACTTAAGCGCAAGTGAAAGATAGATGAAGAAGATGAAATGCTTCTTTAAAAAATTTGCAGACATTCTTGTCGCTGTAGTATTGCATAAATGTTATATATATAATTTGCACTTGTCAATTCTTTATATAATGGAATAATAGTGACATTACATCGAGAAAAAAAATTGGTTGAAAAACACAAAATTTGTTTCATTTTACCAAAATATTTAGTCTATACGATACTTCGACTAAACGTTACTATGATGACACAAAATAATTTGTTACTGTTATAAACAAAATACTATTTTTTAACTAAACTATTTTGTTTCAACAAAAATTTATCGTATTCAACTCAACCGTTCTATTAAAAAAATACATACTATTTATTATCCCCATCAGCATCGTTTAGTCAGTTCGATACTTGGAATTTAAACAAATATATTACTTGGCTAACTAAATAGTATGCAAACATAAATAAATACTACTAGTATTTCGAACAAAATAATTTAATTGAGTTGGTTTAGTTAACTCTTAATTAAAAATTTTTGATAGTTGAAATGAATGAACTATACCTTTCTTTGTGCAACTAAAAAATTGTTGAATTAACTATTGGATTAAACAGCTATACAAATTTAGTTCGTACAATCAATATTTTTTCTCGTGTAGTAGAAAGAAAGAGAGAGAGAGAGAGAGATTTAATTTTACAAAATTAAGATGTATATATCTACTATTATCGAATTCATCAATGTTAGATTTTTAAAGATTTTTAAAGAATTAATAAAAATTAATTTAATTAGCTTCCTCTCTCTCTCTCTCTCTCTCTCTCTCTCCCTCTTTCTATTTTCAGAAATCTCTATTCATTTTTCACTTAATTTCAATTATCGCACATAAATCTATCATATGTCCGTTTGGATACGGCATTTAGCCGTCATTTTCCCTTGCGTAATGAGAGCCGTTGAACGGGGATAATTACCAGCCGTTAACACGGCAACGACTAATCTCCAGACATGTCGGCGTACGAGGAGAATCTACAGGCGCGTAGGGAGAGACTACGCGATCTCGTATCGAGCGAGGAGGCGAATCTAACGAGGGAGATCGTGGAGGTAGCGCGGCGGGACGAGTGCGCCCGGTTCGAAGAGATGCTCGCGAGAACAGAGGAGTTGAGAAAACGCCACGACAAGGAACACGAAGCGACGGTAGCTGCCAAACAGATGCAACGGTATCTAGCCTCGTGTCCGGATATTAAGCAAGAATTGTCGAGAAGATCCGCGATTGACGCGAAGCGAAGTAACGCGGCGCAGATGGCGGACAACCAAGCGAGGGGATTAGCGGAGAAGGAACTGGACGCTGTCTGGCACGAGATAATGCTGAGGGAGGCCGTGGCGAAGAGGCACAAAGAGACAGAGGAGTCGGAGAGACGAGCCTTAGCCCAGCAAGAAACGGTGTCCACTTTAGCCAGGCAAGTGGCGGACAAGTTGGCGCTGGAAGACGAGAAGAAGCGAGTCGAGAGAGACGAGCAGGAGCATCTGGAGCGGCTGTGCGAGGATACGCGTCGAGCGGAGTTGAGGAATCTCGAGATGAAAAGGCAAAAGCGGGAAAAGTTGAAGAAGGAACTCGAGGAGCAGATCCTAACGACGAGCAAGTTCCTCGCCGAACGTGCCCGCGAGGAAGCCATGGTGGATCGCGCATTCATAGCGCTGGCCGAGGAGGAACAGGCTATGGAGAAGACTCGTGCGAAACAGGACACCGCGGCCATTCGCGTGGAATTAAACTCCTATCTGAAGTATCTGAAAGACTTGAAGCAGGAGGAGGTCAAACGGAACCTCGAGATGGAAGCCATAATTCGGCAGTCGCACGAGGCCACTGAGGCAAGACGCGAGCTCGCGCTGAAGAAATTCAAGGAAACTCGCCGGCGCGCCGCGCAGGAAGTCCTTCGCGGCCGGGAGGAACAGCTGATGACGCGGCAGGAGGCGGAGGAGCGGGCACGACGGATGAAGATGGAGGAGCGGGAGGCGCTCGAGAGACAGATCGAGATGGACGCCGACTTGACTGCGACGGAGCAGAAGGAGAGCAGACAAAAGGCGCTTCGTTACGGGCTGGAGCTCAAGGAGCAGCAGAGGTGCGCCGAAGAGACGAGACGCCACGAATTGGAGGAGGAACAGCGGCAACACCAGTCCGAGATGAAGAGGCAGGCGGAGGAATATCAGAGGCTCGCGGACGAGCTGTTGAACGCTTCCGAGAGCATTACGCCGCATCCGTTTAAAGCCCTACTAAAGGAGTGCTCTGAAGGAGTCCCCCTCCTGAAGGAGAAGGAAGGACGTTTCTGTCCTCCAACTTTAACTTCCGCGTAAGTGACATGTTAGGAGATGCTGATAAGTTACCAGGTGTACCTGTCCTTACCCTTGTAAATTACTTTTCCAGCTTGTCAGTACGCGGGAATCATGTAAAGAGCCAGGTAGACCACTGTATAATCAATCAGCGTGCTACCGCTAAATTTGTGACGATAGAAACCTGAGAAACGTTGATAGAAATTTAGGACATCGAGATCTTGACTTTAAGAAAAATATAAAAATTACGAACGTGTAAATGGTTATATAATTTATGTTCATATTATTAAAATATTAAAGTGATGTAACTTCTAAAATTATGGATAATATGGCATGATATTTTCATTCCTTTTTCACTGCAGTTTCTTTTTACAGCCGTATAAAGTAATTATATCTTTTTAATGAGAACACGTACATTAATTAGTTTCTTCTTTATGTAATTAAATGGTGTATATTTCATAGCATGGTGTAAATTTAAGCATTCACAAGTAAAACTTAATTGATTGGTAATCGTTAATTAATCGTTCATTCGCCAGTGCATTTATCTAGACTTATTAATATTCCGTGGTATGTTTAATAATTTAATCCTTTCGATATAAAATATATAAATATAAATATAACAATTTATACATCACTTTTGTTTTATTATGTACAAATTTATGTTTAATAGCGACATTTTGCAGCTGTATCGTAATAAAAAGCCATTAGTAAAGAATCGATATTATTCGGCCATGTCTCTATTTATTTCTAATAAGACTAAATTGTAGGATATTGCACATTCGCAATAAATACAATTCCGTGATATAAATATCACTTTTAATGCCTCTATCGTTAATTTGATAAAATATATCTTTATGACATTGTATTGAACAAAATTGCAAGTAATCTAATACGTTATTTCTGTATATCTATTTCAAAGTAAAATATTGACTAAAATTAATAAGAAAAAAATATTTGCGTATATTAAATGTCTTGTATCCGGCGCAAAATTGAAAACAAAATATCGAGATGTGTATAATTCTCCTCTTTCTCCTTTCGAACGCGATTGTGCCGATCGAAAAAATGCTTCTCACGTGTAATTCGACCTGCAGTTGGCGCTCGTACCAAAGGCTCCGGCTCTTCTCTCAATGTTCTCCGCTTCTACCATCCGTCGGATGCTGCAGGATCCGACGTGGGCTGCTGAAGCGGTACATGTTTATCGACGGAAACGTGGCGGCTTAACGCACAGGATCAGGCAGCAACGATTATCAGAATCTCGTTGTCCGCCTCGAAGGAGATTCGACGCGAAGGGAATTCACGAGCACACGGTGTGAACCTGACGATTTCGTATAAGGCGCGTCTTTATACGACGGGAAAAATTACAATGAATGTTTAAATACGATTATGTATTCCCGCGTATTAACGGGGTACTTCGCGCGACGCTGGCACTCCCTCGATCTCCCCCCTCCCCCCCCCGAATGAAACGTACATACATTACATTAAAATGCGCGCCGCGCGTTGAATCGAGATTTACGCCGTAATTGTGTTCGCGCGCGTATGATAGCGCTTAAATAAATCTTCGTTAAATGCAGACAACCGAGATCACGTTTCGTCAGTTTGCGATGCTTTGGATGGTTAAGAAAAATTCGCTGCCAAGTATCTCTGACGGAATAACTGATTTTACGCGGGCGCATTTGACCGTTCACGCGTTCGATGACGCACGTAAACGTGAATTTTGCAAAATTGGACAAAACGATGTAATGAAAATTTAAAAAAAATGAGAAATTTACAATTCCGAAGCTCCTTCCGTTCGAGCTTGTTTAAAGTGAGAATCGCGCCTCGCCATAATAGAGCGAACCGATATCCGCCCCTCACTTTTTTTTCAACACGATTTCACCCACCAGTCGAACTTTTTCTCGCATCGTCAAGCATGCCACTTGACGGTGCTGCTCGTTGCGTGTTTCCCAGTGACGTGGGTGCGTGCGTGTATGAATACGCACGTCAGCTTAATGCTGTAGGCGGCCTGTTCCTGTGATTGATCGAACGCTGCTGGCTAGACAGCGCAGTTTGTCTCGGGATTCACCCCACAGGTTGGAGGGTTGGCTTGGTTTGGCGCGCCTACTGATTGACTCGGGCTTTGAGATTCCGCGTAAGAGGTCACCGAAGTTCTGATCGAAGTCGAGTCGGGTCGGGTCGGGCCGGAGACGACGAGTGCTCGCCGTTGTACGGATTTTTTTGCCTCTCCGACGAGTTATTTCACTCGGTTGGTCCGAAGACACGGGTGCACCTGCGCGCGTATACGGCGATTATCGGTGGACAAGGCTAGTCGGAAGACAGAGGAAAAGTGAAGAGGCGAGAGGTGGATGGAGAAGAGGAGGAGGTGGACGAGGAGCAGAAGGAGGGCAAAGAGGGTCGGGGTTGGCGAAGAAGCGAAGAGCCAGAAGACAGAAGGAAAGACAGAAGGCCAACGAGAGCGCATGAGAAAGGAGGAGGACGGAAGGGAGAAAGAGAGAGTGGAAACGGAGAGGGTTGCGCTGCTGCAAGAGAGCGAATGGACTCTGCCTCCAGGGATGTTCTTTTGACAGTCATGTCGCTGTCGTCTCCTAAGGTCCCCCGGCGGCATTGCATTAATCTTCTTCTTCCGACCCCGCCTTATTGAAAATTCTACAGAGCGCTTCACAGTTTTTGCCGCGGACGTCTTTTATACTCCACTACCGCCGCCCCCCCTCCCCTCCCCCCACCCACACACCCTCCCGCCGCCGCTCGCGCTCTCGCTTCAGCCAAGAGCATCCCCCTCGATGAGGGCGAGCCGCCCTGTGCTGCGCTTCGTCGTGCGTCTCGTCACCCGGACGAGAAGAGCGTCCTTACCCGCCTCCCCATACGGCGCTACGTTACGCCGCCGCCGGTGGTATCCGTCGTCGGCGCGGACGCGTCCAAGCTTCAGGGCACAATGATCGATAACGTTATCAATCACCGCATCGGTAAGTCTCCTCCAACCCCTACCTCCGGCGGCGGCGGTCGCGTTCGACGCCCACACGCGTATTCCGCACACCTCGCTGACCGCGAATGCCTGCCGCTGGAAATGCGCGCATCCGTCTCCCGATAAACGCGTCTGTCAGACGGAGGGTCGCTCGCGGACGGGGCCTCGCGAGAGGAAATAGTGGGATTTCGATTGCGTGAGCCGTCAAGAGCCATCGGAATTAATTCATTCTGCCGCGATGCCGTCCGCGATATACGAGCTAACAGGACCAACAGGAAAAGGGCGCGATGTAGATCCTCGCGCGGCCAGAAGTACCGCCGCGCGATGGAATGATGAGGGTGTGCTTGATGGGAATTAAGCGAGCGTTAAGTATCCATACTCTTCGGAGCGGATCGCTTTTTGTAAGGCGGTGGGAAAGCGAACCGCTTATCGGCTTTCCATTCAGTACCATTTAAAAATCGGCAGCGTTAAATGATTTTAATGCCAGATTAGGCAACCAATGGGAATATTAACTCGATAATACGCACATTATTCCTTTAATTAAGTATAAGGTTGATATCCTTAAAGCAAAAGCTAAAAAAGAGCAGCTATTTACTCAGCGAAGAGATCTGCATTATAAATATTGTATGCATTTATACTGTTAATAATAATATAAAAAACTTATAATTCTATTCGAAGGATTTTTTTAAACATTGAAAAGGATAGGAAACAAAGTGGTGAGAGAGAGAGAGAGAGAGAGAGAGAGAGAGAGAGAAAATAAAATAACATATATTTTGGAATTATGTTTTATTATCTTTTTATATCAATGATATGTATCTTTATCATTTTTATACAAAAAAACCATTGCACATTTTTTTCTTGTTAAATGAAATAATACATTTTGCTATACAATATTAAATTTCTGCAATTAACAGCAATGTAATTAATATTCTTCACTTTTCAAAATTCAACTTCATAGTTTGTAGTTTCCCAAACATTTTACTTTTAATTTTGAAAAAGCTAATGTATATATTTATAATAATAACGTACAAGAATAATTATTGTTTATAATAATATTATTTATTTAATAATATATATTTATAATAATTATTTTAATTAATTTTATTATTCACGATTTTGAAAAAAATAATATATTCATTGAATAATCAGTGCTTGCGTAATTTAACTGAAAGTAAATATTTGCATTATTACTTGATTACACAATGTATTATAATCCAACAAAAAGCGAATATGTAAGCATACAGAGAAAAATTACTTTGTAATTTCAGTCGTGGAATTCACAGTAACGAAATTCGGCGTGTGTAGCTTTAACCTATTTTAGTCAAGAATTCAAAGTATCAATTTCTTGGGAAGTAGATTGAGAAAACTTTCTTCTTTACTTTTAATCAGAAAAGTTTGAAAAATCCGAACAACCCTCGGAACCGTCGGAGCGTAAAGCACACCGAAAGGGTTAATTAATAAACGCAACGCGTCGAACTCCCGCGAGTCGATGGCGTTCGTGGGACTCGACGAGCGTGGAGCGTGTCCCGGCTATTTTCAGGAAAGTTTTTCGGATTTTTCTTCCTTTTTCCCTCCCCCCTTCCCTCCACCCTTTTTCCAGAAAGCTCCGCAGGAAGCATTAGTACACTCGGAGGCGTGTCATATCCTATCATCAGCGACGTAGATTAATGTTACGCCGCCGTGGCCGCGCGCGGCGGCGGCGGAGATTGTTGCGCTTTTCACGGGGATTCCTGTATTTATGATGATAAGCCTGATTTCAACAACCTCGTCGCGGCGCGCCATAGAAATTTCGATAAAATACACGCGACAATAAAATGATTCTCGTGTACGGGTCTCGCTCACCGGCTCGACGGTGAATCGTCATGACATAGGCAGGGGAGAAGATGATTTATAGCGCGCAACCGGCAGTTCGTCGGGTAACACTGATAGGCAGGAAATAGTCACGGCTCTAATGTAAGATTACGGGAGGCTTAAGCCGAGCTTAATTTGAGGGCACCCTCTGCGAGGTGCCTGGAATTCGTGATAGCTAGCGAATTGGCGAAAGCCGGTATAATTTTTCTACTTAAAGAGAGATGTATCATTACGTTCCTTCTTTTCACCCTCTCTCCTCCTCCCCCCCCCCCAAAAAAGAAAATCTTGTAACTTTATATATTTCCATCTCTTCAAGGAACAGAATTATATCGAATTTTCTGCTTTACATAATTACGCACCAGCTACAGGAATGTACTTACATTAATTTAAGTGCGAACGAGCGATTATAAGAGCGCGAGCATTTAGATTTAATCAGGATAATTCTTGATGATTCTCGGTATAACCAGCTATTTATCACTGTCGTGTTTACTCGTTCATAATTAACCGCTTTTAAAATGTTTTTAATAACTATTTACTCGACATAACGTTTTAAATATATTTTATATTCTTTATATATTATTAAAGCTAAAATGTGCTCTCTCTCTCTCTCTCTCTCTCTCTCTTTTTCTTGCATTCTTGTAAACATTATATCTTAAGTTACTACCGTGCACTTAGGGAAATTCGACTCTCATATATATTGAAATGAACTTTACATCGCATGCATCACAAATTATGCATTTAAA